CTACCCATTTAACACTTTTTATAAATTCAAAAAAAATTCCTGATGAATAATAAATTAAAGACAATATATCCACTAGTTTTCTCAAAATTAAACCATACAAAACAATTGAATAAGGAAAATCCATTTATACAAAGTAACTCATCATTCCTAGCAACCAAGAAATTAATAGCTATTAATTATTTATTCCAAAAAGATTTTACTATCAATCTTATATTAAAAATATGAGTCTATATTTTTAAAATAGCAAAGGAGAATTACTCTATAAATAACTTAATTCAACATGCAATGTATCTTCTAATATTATAAAACTAGATGGTTCAGAAGTTATAACATAAAGAATAAATAATATTCTTTAATATTAATCTGATAATAATAATTTTGAATTAGGCACATTAGCTTTCAAACTTGATCCGTACGAATCAGAGTACGATTACTTAAAAATTTATGTTCAGTGCAGAACTTATTATTCAAAAAATGTATTCAACTACATCATGAATACAAGAAGTCTCAAATGCTAATTAGGAGAATTTCATATTGATAATGGATGTTAAATTTGTGTTTGGAGTTAAGGTTTTTACAGTGTAACATATAATTCAATTAAATGCTCCATATATGATAAACTAAAATTCTAAAATATAACTTCTAACATGATTAATTTATATGAGGGTTATTGGAGACCAAATTATCTATCAGATTATACTGAATCATGCTATAAAAGTCCAGGATTTTGTAAAGGAGGATGGGAAGTTGGAGATAATTCTTGTAGTTTAGGACGTAAAGGTGCGCTATGTGAAATGTGCGATATATATGATGAGAGAGGAGAGGGAAGGTTTTTTAAAAATTAAGAAGATTTGAAATGTTCATCATGTTCATAACATGATAACATCATTCTTCCATTTTTATTTGCATTATTTCAGTATTTAACATTTTAAACATTTAGGGTATTATTATCAATTATATTATCCTTGAAAAGTATAAATAGATCAAATTAATTATTTACTTCATTAAGGATATTTGAAAAATTTAGTAAAATAATATTTAAATTAAATCAAGGTAATAATTTTAATTTATTATTTAGATCATGAAGGAATTTTGGTTAAAATGCTACTAAATTATTTATGGATATTTTCTATTATTTTTACTTTCAATATCAATTTTACATTCTCTGTTATATTTATTGAATAATCTAGCAATAGTTTTTATTTTATGGTGAATAATTTAGATTGTTACTTGTCAAATCTTTAAACAGAATTAATCTATATCAAGATTATTGTTATTTTAATAATGATGCTCCTACAATTCAATCTTATATTAGCCTTTTCATTTTTATATCATAGTATAACTAAAAATAAAATGGATAATAGTATATTATCAAATACATTGCTTTGTTTGTATTTATTTAATTATGGAGGATTGATTAAAATGTAATAAATTATTCTTCAATTAGGTACTGTTCATTATTGTCTTCAAGATAAATATCAAATATTATTTACATTTAAGGAGATGTATCTTTATTATATGATACAAAAAATCATTAATAGTGGATTTATTTTATAATTATACCATTATTATTAGTTTTTGGTTGTATTATACCATTTTCTTTATTTTTGTTAACTTACATCAAAAGGGATAGTCTTAATAAAATTAAATTAAGAAAACATATATGCTATTTATTTAATGAATATACTGATAGTAATTATTATTGGGAATAGATTAAATTGATATAAAAAGCTATGATAATTTTAATCACAACCTATTTTGAAAATAGCATACTTTTAAAGATATCATTAATAGGACTTTGTTTACTCACTTATTAAGCAATTACTGTTAAAAATAAACCTTATATTATATCCAAATTTAATAATTTAGATTTGTCATCAGGATAAATATGTTCAATCACCATATTTCTTGCAGCAGTCAAATATGAGAGCTAAAATTTAAATAATACAACCATTTCTACATTTCTATAAATAGTTCTACTTATTTTAATGGTAAGACTATGTTACCCTTTCATTTATAATATATTTACTGTTTATTACAAAAAATATAGCTATGCCATTTTTTTGAAAATTCATTCATTATTATAACATTTGAAAATTAATACTTAATTTACCTAACGTTTTGGAAATTATCTATTAAGAAAGAATGAGAGATAAACCAAGTTAAAAATGAATTTTCTCAAGCTCAGAGAATATTTTCTTCCTAAACATAGAAATCAAAATAAAATGTTTAAGTTATATTTATTAAGTATTTTAGATTTGCTCATAAAAAATCTCATCTTAAATCGAATACAAATAGTGGAAAATATTTAATAGAAGTAACAAATGAATGATATTTTAATATTATATTCAAATCATAAGCATAAATCCATTTCGTAATTAAACACAAAAATATATAATATCCTAAACTAGTATTAGTTGAAATTAGTTTTCCATTTTACTAATTCTTTTATTTAATATTCAAGATTAAAACTTATTATTACTTAAATATATGTTATTAGTCACATAAGAAGTTCACATTCTTATTCTTATGTCATTAAAAATACAAATAAAGAGACCAAATCGTACAAAGCAATCAGATTAAGTTAATTCAGCACAAGGTTTTATTGAACAAATCAAGAATTTTCATCCAAAATACAATAATCTTTGTGTTATTAAATAGCATATTATATAACAAAATAATTATAGTATTTAAATACAATAGATTATTAAATAATACAATCTATGTTTAAATTTATAGTATATAATTAAATGTAACTACTTCCAAATCAATTAACCATTCAATTAATTATATATATTTAAATCTGTTAATCATAATATATTAAATAAAAATAGGTAAGATTAATTTAATTATCTTATTTGGCCATAAATAAATGGTTATTTCCAATATTATTAATGATTTCATAAATTAGAGTGAAATAATAATCATAATAATATTTATCCTTTCAAACGCCAAATAGACATTAATAAAAAGTCTAATTAAATGTCTTAAACTAAATATGAATATTAAGATTACGGCTAATGGTGATGAAAAAAGAATGTAAGATATTTAGTTGGAAGTAATTTTGAAGTTAGTTTAAGAATACAATGTTTGAAATAAATAATTTGTTGCTGATATAATACTTTCATTAACATTCTAAGCAAGTTAATTTTTTCCCAAGTAATGAATCATTTTTTATAATAGAACATATACTATGAAGAAGTAATAATATATTAAATACTATTGAAATAGTTATGAGGCTTTATAGAAGTTTCAGTTATATATTAACAGAGGTCATATTAGATTATTGAACTGATTAATTCTTAATTACAACTTATTACAATTAGAGTAAAATACATCGGAATGTAATGATGGAAAATATTTGATAACTTGGGATGTGTTCAAAATATAAAAGAACATCAAGAAGCAAATAATTAACAAGTCTGAATAATGTTATAATTAGATAATGGATAATATTTATCTTTTACATATGAAGTAATAATTTGCTAGAAATTATAATACATGTTATATGTTTATTTTATATATAATTATTATTTTTTTTAATTTTCTCGAGATCTTACTCATCTATTAAATAATAACTAAGATAATTTTAAATATAATACTTCTATTAGTATTGAATTAATATATTATTATATATAGTTATATTTAAATCAATATAGAATATATGTTATTATGTATTTAAAGTGTAAAAAAATTAGTATAAAAGTATTAATAAAGGTTGAAAATAAATTATAATTTAAATAATATATCATTTTAAATGGACCCATAAGCATAAGTACCTACAAGAACAGTTGTTGAATTACCAACCTTCACTATAGTTGGTTTGGTGAGGAATATCATCTAAAAAGAAGAATAAGATCCAAAAACAGGATAGATTGGAAAGGCTTATGAAGAATATTTTGATAAGTAGATCCATGATAAAATTCCACATCGTTTATACCCAAAAAGAACTTATTGTATGTATTATGAATACTAAAATGCTGATAACCAAGAAGAAATCAGATATAAAATGGTCTTAGGAGAAATGGTAAGTCAAGTCACTGATATACCAGAAGGACTAGTAGCTGTAAAAGTGCCTGCTCATCATTTCTGTCGTTTTGATTGTGGGCCAGGTCCTATTCCAAAAGTTGTGATTGATGCTTGGTAATCATTACCAAATTTAACCTCTGAAGAATTTGGTGGAGTAAGATCACATGATTTTGACTTCGAAGTATATCCAGAAGATATAAATCTAAAGGAGAACATCAAATTTGAATTATTCATTGGTATATAAAAATGAAAATGTCTATTTGACATACAATATAATTTTTAATATATGCTTCGCAATACTTCTAAATGTAATGATTATTATCCTTATTCAATCTTAATGGTTTCTATAATAAAATAACTTAAGATGTGGAATCAAATGCTTTAAAAAGATGTTTATTTTACATTTTAAGAAAATCCGAACATTTTTAAATTATAATGAAGATTGATGTTAAATTAATATTTTTATTATAAATTGTTTCTGTTAAATTAATAATTGATTTTTTTATTAATGTAATTATTAAATTCTTAAGAAATGACCATGATCAATTAATAATTAGTCATTTTGAACTTCAATAGAATGAATTGATAGGTATTCATTATGAATTGATTTGAATTCTAATTTCGTAAGTTTAGAGTGGAGAAGAAAGAAATCTCAATTCTAAAATATTAAATGATGAAGCTTAGCTGAATTCATTGATCTATGCATAGCAATTTAAAGAATTAAAAAAAATCTTTTGTTTATTAAAATAATCTAATATTTTTATTGTTATATTATTTTTAATTTATTTGTATATCTCTATTAGATTCTCTTAACTAATAATTTAATCATAAATTGTAATACATACATTATTTCTTCAACTATTTTATAAANAGAATATATGTTATTATGTATTTAAAGTGTAAAAAAATTAGTATAAAAGTATTAATAAAGGTTGAAAATAAATTATAATTTAAATAATATATCATTTTAAATGGACCCATAAGCATAAGTACCTACAAGAACAGTTGTTGAATTACCAACCTTCACTATAGTTGGTTTGGTGAGGAATATCATCTAAAAAGAAGAATAAGATCCAAAAACAGGATAGATTGGAAAGGCTTATGAAGAATATTTTGATAAGTAGATCCATGATAAAATTCCACATCGTTTATACCCAAAAAGAACTTATTGTATGTATTATGAATACTAAAATGCTGATAACCAAGAAGAAATCAGATATAAAATGGTCTTAGGAGAAATGGTAAGTCAAGTCACTGATATACCAGAAGGACTAGTAGCTGTAAAAGTGCCTGCTCATCATTTCTGTCGTTTTGATTGTGGGCCAGGTCCTATTCCAAAAGTTGTGATTGATGCTTGGTAATCATTACCAAATTTAACCTCTGAAGAATTTGGTGGAGTAAGATCACATGATTTTGACTTCGAAGTATATCCAGAAGATATAAATCTAAAGGAGAACATCAAATTTGAATTATTCATTGGTATATAAAAATGAAAATGTCTATTTGACATACAATATAATTTTTAATATATGCTTCGCAATACTTCTAAATGTAATGATTATTATCCTTATTCAATCTTAATGGTTTCTATAATAAAATAACTTAAGATGTGGAATCAAATGCTTTAAAAAGATGTTTATTTTACATTTTAAGAAAATCCGAACATTTTTAAATTATAATGAAGATTGATGTTAAATTAATATTTTTATTATAAATTGTTTCTGTTAAATTAATAATTGATTTTTTTATTAATGTAATTATTAAATTCTTAAGAAATGACCATGATCAATTAATAATTAGTCATTTTGAACTTCAATAGAATGAATTGATAGGTATTCATTATGAATTGATTTGAATTCTAATTTCGTAAGTTTAGAGTGGAGAAGAAAGAAATCTCAATTCTAAAATATTAAATGATGAAGCTTAGCTGAATTCATTGATCTATGCATAGCAATTTAAAGAATTAAAAAAAATCTTTTGTTTATTAAAATAATCTAATATTTTTATTGTTATATTATTTTTAATTTATTTGTATATCTCTATTAGATTCTCTTAACTAATAATTTAATCATAAATTGTAATACATACATTATTTCTTCAACTATTTTATAAATTTAATATTGGGAACAATTTCCTAAAATACAAAATAAAATTAAATGTATATTGTTAATCAACCCAAAAAATTAAGAAAATTTTCAAGAAACAAATGGAAACAAGAATTTTTTACCAATAACACAACCAGAATCAAAATGATATTTCTCAATATATTATAATATAATTAAATGCATTTGATTGAAAATACATTCACAAATTCTAATTAAAATTGTAATAGAATTATATATCAAAAATATAGAAATTTGTATTTACTATAATTTACAACAAAGGATATTTCATTTGAATTGTTCATCTATATAACCCTATATTATTATTAAGATCCTTATATATTTGATATATTCTATTTTAAATTGATCATACTAAAATAAGTTATTATTGATATAAATTTCTAATAGAATTTGCATTCCAGACTTAATTCAAAAATTAGAATCAATTGTTTCATAATTATTATTTTTTATATGTAAGTATTGATAGAAAATAAAAATTGGTCAAATGAAGAAAATGAAAATTTCTAATCAATTTTATGTTTATTAGATTTAACTATAGATTAATAGTAAATTTTACATAACCAAATCCAAAAATTTAAGAGACCGGAGAAAATAATAAACTTTGTTTTGAATGCTGATCCAGATTGGGATTCATTATAAAAATGGATTGAAAAGGAGAATTATAATCAAGTCCAAGAGAAATAATAATAATCAATTATTTAAGAAGAAAAATAATGGAATCAATAATAATTGATGATATTAAAAAATTAATTGTCCTCGTAAATTAATAGTAATGAGGAAGTAAATAAGATTCTCTAATCTATATAATAATCAAATTTGAATAAGGAAATTGTAGCAAGTGTCTTAAATTGTGAATTCGAAACATTTGAAGAATTTATTTAATTAACATAAATTTTTGAGGGAAAAAGTAAAATTGTAACTAGAAGGCCTCCATAATAGAGCAATGATAAACAATAATCTAAGAATATACTTTATGATAATTAACAAATTAAATAACTATTTACTGAATTTCAATCCTTAAATGGGAGAAATAATTTACAAATCTAAAATTTACTCATATAATTATATAGTTCTTTTTAGTATTAATCATTTGATCCTACATTAATAGATTTCTAACCATCTCCAGATTTGGAATATGAAGATTTATTCATTTTATGTACTAAGGTTAAACAATATTTTTCATACTATCCTAGACCAGTTCAATTATTATCTGTTATAGAATTATATAATCATAATAATGATTAGGGACGTTTAGCATAGATATATACTGGAGAGGGTAAGACTTTAATAGTAGCAATGCTTGCAATACTTCTGTGTAAAAAGAAACAAATCAATGTTGACATTGTAACTAGTTCTCCTGTCTTGGCAATCAGAGATGTCTAGGAACTAACCCCATTTTATAAATTATTTTCTATATCAGTTGCCCATAATATAAATGGATCCTAGAATTAGTTAAAAAAGATGTTTCCATGTTATAATTCTCAAGTTATATATGGAGATCCGCATAGTTTCTAAGCTGACATACTAAGACATGAATATTCAGAATTAGGAACTATGGGTGATAGAAAATAGGGATATGTTATAGTAGATGAAGTTGATTCAATGCTTATTGATGGACATAGTAATAAGACATTATTAAGTACACCCATTCCTGGAATGCTCGATTTAACAAAAGTTCTTCGATTAATTTGGGATGAAATTTGTAAATAATAGCCCAATATTTCAACTGATAAAAAAGTTATGGTTATAGATTAAAACAATTTTTATAGTGTAGATTTAGAAGAATACATTCAAAAAACATTAGATATTTAACTTCAAGATGCCTTATACAATTTTATACCTAAATTTCGACTAAACTATATTGACTTTATGAAGAAAACATGGATTGAAAATGCCATCTTAGCTATGTTTCATTTCCATGAGAGAAAGCATTATCTTATTGATAATAATAATGTTAGAATTATTGATTACTAAAATACAGGAGTAGTACATTAGGATAATATGTAATGGTAGAAAGGACTTCATTAATTCATTTAATTAAAGCACAATCTTCCAATCACTCCTTTAAGAATTAGTACTAACTATTTGTCAAATGTTGGATTCTTTAAAAGATATCAGAATCAACTATTAGGCTTAACAGGTACTTTAGGATCACAAGTTACTTAGAATCTATTATCCAAATAGTACAAACTTGACTTTGTTCTTATGCCACCCTTTAAGTAAAGACTGTTGAAAATAGAACCTGGAATAGCAACTCTTAGTAAAGATGAATGGTATTAAGAGATATTAAAATCCGTCTAATATAAAGTTAATAAAGGTAGAGCAGTGCTGATTATCAATCAGACTATTTAAGATGTTTAAAAAATAGAAGCTTATCTAAAAAAATACAAAATAAAATCTACCACCTATGTCGATGATCAATAAGAATTGAAAAAAGTAATTGGACCTTAAACTGTTATAATTGCTACAAATTTAGCTGGAAGAGGAACAGATTTAACTACTAATGAAGAATTAGAAAGAAATGGAGGTCTCCATGTTATCATGTCTTTTCTACCTCGAAACATTAGAATCTAACTTTAAGGATTTGGTAGAACTGGAAGGCAAGGTAAATTAGGTACTGCAGAACTAATTGTTTCTTTCCCAGATAATTTATATGTTGGTTAATTAACTCAAATTAAAACTATTTAAGATGCAATCAATTATTATCAAACAAAATAGAAAAAATAAATGTAAAATTACTTTGAAGTTCTCGTCTACTTTAGAGATTTAAATGAATAATATTATTCAGATGAAATAGAATTAGAAATGGAGAAACTATTAAATGAAGACAGATGTTTTAACAAGTTCTGTGAAATTGCTAAGAAAAAAGTAAATATGAAAGATAATAGGGCAGCATTTTAATCTTTAGAGGAGAAATGGGGTCTTTATTTGGAATAATATCAAGATATAGGATTAAATGAGGATGATATTGAAAATTGGTTGAATTCCGATGAAGGGTAAAATCCAAAATATTTAATTTATCAAGGTCTTCAAAAGGACGATTTAAAAATTTTTTAAAAAGCAGCTGAAATAGCAAAAGCTGATCCTTAGGTCTAATATTATAAAGGCTTAAGTGAAATATAAAGTGGGTAGTATAAGAATGGATGTGAATCTTTGTAAAAAGCTAAATCATTATTTCAAATTAAGATTGATGATGAAAAAGGATTTGCTACAGCTTCTAAATTAAATAGAATTCAAGTAGAATAGTTTTAAGATAATGAATCTTTGATTGAATTTTAGGAGTCAGTGGTTATGGTTCCTAATGAAAACTTAGAATTACCTGACTTAGATTTAACAAGAGATTCTGAATCTCATAATATATCTGCTATACAATTTGTCAAATAAAATGATGTATAAAAAGACACTGTTGAAAGGAAGATTAACAATCATTTAAAAGTTTATAATAAAGTAATAAATAACATTGATACAATTCTTAACACTATGTCAACATTCAATCCTGAAGAAGAAGTGCTTGATTTAAGTTGGATGCCAGTAATTATGAAAGATGAAAAAGAAAATGTTGATTTAGAGCAATCTATAAAAGATTAATAAGAAGTGATTGATGATGGACCATTACCCAAACTAGGGAAAATTGCAAAAAAGAAAAAAGAAAAAAGTTGGTTATAATATGTGGCCATGTTTGCTATTGGATTATGTTAATTTGTTGTTGGATGTGCAATATGTGCATTTACTAGTGGAGCAGCCATGCCTATAGGAAGAGCCCTCATTACTGAAGGCATTTCAGATATGTTAACAGCAGTTATATCAGCATGGAAAGGAATAGATATTGACTGGGGAAATTGGGGATAATAGAAAATGATTAATATTGGATCTGCATTAGTTATGGCAGGTCCTGCAGGAATTAAGGAAGCACTTCATCTTGGTGGAAATGCTATGAAATCTTTAAAGAAAATTGGAATAGCTGAATTTTTGAAATAAATTCCTGAAATTACTGCTGAAGGATTAAAAAAGAATGGTTTTTGGTTAACTGATCTAGATAAAGAAGTTGTTCAAAACTAATATAACACTTTGAAATAAATATCAAGTACTGTATCGAAAGTTGGTAATTCATCTTAACTTCTCAATTTGGCATATGATGTATTGCAAAATTAAGTATCAAATAATGTTATAGATAAAGAAGCAGCCACTGGCATTTTTGATTTAATTAACTAATGCTTTTAATAGAGTTCTGGAGTAGAAGATTTTAAAAATAATTTTTGCTAATTTGCAAAAAAATATATTAGATTACAAATGGTTTAGAGTAAATAAGGTAAATCAGATTCTTAAATAAAGGAAGAGGTGACTTAATTCAGTTTTATAGAAGGAAATAA